TTAGCGTCAACACATTTAACTTCAAAGGAAACTCGAAGATGGTTCAAAAGCCTTCCAAATATGGACGCTTACGTAGCATCCAAACCCACAAGCGAAAAGTTCGAAGATCTTCGAGGATAATGGATTGGAAGAAACGATTGATTGCATGAAGTGTTTGGATCCACACAACATACGTGAGCATGTGTTGTGCAAAACAAAAAAGTATAACGACAGAAACTTGGGGTGTTCTACGGATAAAACGAGATTCCGTCACGATCATTTGTGCGCCAACTCGCTGGCACTGATGTGCATTGTTCCCTATCAACGATTTCGCTACCCCGTTTTCATCTATATCCAACCATCTCCATGCCTATGAGCATCATCACTAAGTAGCACGATATAGTCCAAACTAGGGTAATATATTCCTCACCGTTTTTGCAAATCAACAACCATTTCAACGTCAACTCCTGTCAAACACTACTTCATCAGTCAAAAACCAGTAGAATCTCTACACTTTTCTTCCAACGTGATACTAGTTTGCATTTAAGCTCATTTATTCCTCTAACGCAGCATTCTTGATACCTGGAAACGATGAATCCGTTGAAGGCATTTGAGTCAGCGGATTGGTTGTTGAACATTTTCTCAGTCGGTAGTTGTCCACTTGTCCATTTTGCAAAAGAGTGGTAGAAGTTTAGCCAGAGGTCAGATGGGTAGCCGGATAAGATGGAATTTCAAACCCCAATTTGCTCAACTTCTGCAACATATGGTTGGGACAACGTCATGTAGCTGAGCTTGTTGACGTTCATTGACAGCTGGTTCTCTACTTACTGGTGCATTCTGTCGAATTTCTGAGAATAGCGAGTGATTTGGCTAGGATTCATGGAATTGTGGTTCAGTGCTGACTCTCAAATAGTCAACATAACCTATTTTCGTATATAATGCTGAGATATTTGCAAAACCCCGGACCGTAGGTGTATGCGGTGGGGAACGAAAGTGAAGTGCGCTACTCCCCGGTAAGGACAATAGCGCGCGTTCGTTCCCCACCGCATACACGTGCGGTCCGGAGTTTTGCAAATATCTCAGCATTATATACGAGTTACATTTCGCAACATACCCTGCCATTAAAAAGAAAAAGGCAGTAAATAAAAGGGTTAAGATAACCTATTTTGTTGCAAATTGCAATTCACGGTATTAAAATCAGTTTTTAATCAGGAAAACTGATTTAAAATGATAGACAGTAGGGTCCATTACAACGTGAAAAAACTAGACGAGTATAGAGGTGGGTGAGAAATAGAAGGGGCTATTAAAGGGAAGACTTCGATGGAGGAGGAAAATGACGATAATAAATGCAAAGGAAGGAAATTGGAACCCTCATAAGAATGCGAATAATGTGATACTTACTTACTTGGATACTTGGATGGCCCGTCCTCACCGTTTTGCTGGCCTCAACACAATCTTCACCTTTTCGGAGATTTGCTGGCTTAGGCTTCCCTGGAATCCCGATGTCAACCTGGCCAAAGTCTGCCCCACGTCGTCACCACAGGCAGTCGCAGCGCTTGTGGATCGGAGAAAGATTTGCCACCATGCGACTAGTTTGGTACCAGGACGGTGGCAGATCCTGGCGTTGGTATTGGTTTACTCTTATCTGGGCTTCCTAATGCAAACGTCGGACTCCTTCTCAGCTTGGGAGACCTTGCCAAGGAGATGAATCCCCCTGCTGTGCATTGCAGCCCGACACCCAGGAACACCTCCCAGCCACGATGAGGCGGTCAACCGTTGAGAGGAAGTAAAATATGATAAATAGGAACAGCAACATGTATCCATCTAAAGTAATAGAAAAAACTCTACCTAGAACTTATGTTGACTAGTAATTAGAGCAACAGATTGAAAAAGAATGAGGAGTTATGGAAAAAGTCAGCGTCGTACACTCTGTGAGGGGTAGAACGTACACATTTGAATCTGTAAGGGATTACTATTGCAAACCTAATCGCTCTGATGAATTCTTGTTGTCTCATGCAATATATGAATGGCGCAAAGATAAAATAGTACCGATACCTACTCTACATAACTTCCAAAACAAACTTCGAAGTGCTGACAGCAATGTGATTAGACAAGAGGATAAAGCGTTCGGTGTTGGCTAAATCCGGAGGGAAGAGCCATGCATTAGACTTCATCGAGCATCGTTAGAGGTGGTACAGTTCATATCTTAATGGTTTAAATTTGTCTACCCATGTTTCAAGTTAGTGCTGCCAAACCCGCAAACAACTACCGGCCCGAGGGTGGACAGCTTAGTGCGCCAGAGGCTGAGACAGAACTAGAGAATGCTTGCGCATTGCCAGATACCTCTAACCAACGCGCTACACGCGCACATGTGATCGGAGGATTATCTGTCTGCCCATTGATCGTCGTATGATTCGGGCGCGAGCTATTAAATTTTTTCATTTTTTCGTGTCACGTGCAAGAGTAGCCCACTTGATTCTGCTCGCTCTAGGAACTCGTTGAGTATCATACCTTTCTTCTAGGGTTTTCGTGAAGAACTCTGCTCATCGGGTCAGTGGTGTTCATGCAGTACGTTGATATCCTCACTAACGGCTTCTGTTCACCGGTTGTCATTCAGACACATAAGGTGTCCGGCCCACTTTACCTTCGACAGTTTGGGGCATAGAACGACATCCTTGATTTTTGATCGTCGACGCAGGTCGGAGCGTCGGATTCCTTCACTCGCTTGCGTGAGACGGGATATTTCTAGCATCGCCCTTTCCGCTGCCCGTTCAATAACGCTGAGTGTTCTTTCACCCTGCTCGCTCAGCGACCAGGTTTCTAACACATACGTTATGGCAGGAAGAATCGTGGAGTCGAAAAGGCGAACAAGGAGTCGGGTGTTCTTTGTCCTCTTCATTAGATCTTCGATGCTAAAGCACCTCGAGCCGCTCGTTTCCTCCTGTTCAACTCTGGAGCTAAGTCATTCATCATATTGATTTCTCAACCTAGATGTAACTGTAGCATTCGGAGATATTCCACTGAAGACAAGCCTCACATTGCGGCACGTAGCCGTGTGAAGAGACGAGCCAGTGTGTTTACGAGGACTTGCGGAAAGTGCTTCAGTTGTTCACATCTTATCCTGTCCGGACCTTTGTACGTTCTTCACCGGCGAAATTGTATATCGGATCTCGCAAGAGAGAAATATATCAGTTCTGCTTCATTTCATACAAGGGCAGGAGGAGGTGGTTGCCGAAAAGAACCGATTAGTAATCTGGAGTTATTTTCTCCACTGCCTTTCTGGACGCTGTAATTGTTCCGTCTGGTCGTTGGAGAGTGCAACCATCTTGGTCTTATAATTGCGAAGCATCGGTGGGCTGCGAATGCTTTTCCCAGCCTCTGCAGCTTCGACAGTAACTGTTGCTTTTCTCCCTTTAATATCTTCTTTTATCGACTTTCTGCAGTGCTTTGCAAGTCCGGACATGTTGGCGATTGCCAACAGCTCGCCTGATTCCACTTTGGCACATCAATTCTAGTGCTTATGGAGGCAGACATCTCTAGTGACTTTCGAACGCTTGGCTTTCATAGCGCTAACGTGAAGCTGTTGAACGAGACGATCGTATTTCTCACCAATGTTATGAAGAAGGGCATCTTCTCAACAGGCGTCTAACGAACTTAAAAACTTCTGGTCTATGGTTGTTTTCGGACTTCGTTTTTCGAATTTAGCGGGCTTTGCTCTCCTTTCAGTGAGAAATGAAGTTTCGCACGAAGTAGGAGCTGGTCTGGTCCTGTGCAGAATTTTCGGACACCAGCGACACCGATTACGCAAACCTTCGATTTAGTAAAATGTGGTCTATTTTGTTATGGTGTTCTCCATTGGGAGAGGCCTATATGCAGCGTTAAGAGGGGGGCCTCCAAAATTGCAAGTTACCATAAGTGGTCTTGGGTGTCATGATAAACTCAGAGCGCCTCTAACCCTGCTCGTTTCATTCTCATTCATGGGTGCCAAAGTGAAGTTGTTCAGACGCATGAAACAGTAGATGTAAGAAATTAGGAGATACGTAGAATATAATCAGCATAAACGAGAAGACACTCACGTATTCATGGATGAATACGTCCTCGTAAACACAGGCATGCGTCAAATTGACGCAGCCAAAACAGGGAGGGAATGTGTTCGATACTAGTCGACAATAACACGCAGCAGAATAGTACACACCCCAACAAAAGCTCAACAAATTTCTATAGGTCTGTCAATTTACCCACTCCTTAAGTCTCCCAACTAATATTAAAGATCCAACGAGTATTGCCGATAAAGCAATCGCTGACACGGATTTGTTCGATTCCAGGGCGAGTGCCGCTTTTTTTGCAGTTTATCCAAAATCACCATGCTAGAGGTACCGTTGAGTCAGACTTTGGCCAGGTTGACATCGGGACTCTACGGAAACACAATGGCTAAACGATCGAAACGCCGAAAAATGGAGATTTTGCTGGGTTTGGCACAACGAGTGAGGACGGGCCGTCTAAGTATCTTAAAGAGATACCGTGGCCGAATGGCTGTAGTAGTCGCGCTCCAGTGACACTGCATCTAGCGGTGGCAGCGGGACATAACCGGACGGTACCTGTTACTCGGAGGGGAATTGCTAGGATCTGTCATTGGGCTACGTTCGGGCGTCACATAGTCATGTGGTCTTCCAGGCCATTCAACCCTACACGTTTCCCTTCCAGTCCTGAAATAGCATGGTGGTTGGTCTCCGAGCTGCGGTGTTCGTATTATTTTTTTTCGTGAATTTTTGATGTTTAGAAGATTCTTCACTGACCTTACTCGATATTTCTGAAGTAGTGGTGTTTTGCTATAGCGGTTCTGAGTAGCAAATGGCATTGGTACGATGCGTCACTTTCGATATGGTTCCTCTTCTGAAGTCTTTCTGATAAAATTTGACCAATTATTTTCTGGATGAAAGGCTACTTGTCTAAGGAGCTCTGTGGATGGTGATAGTGGTCTAGTGCAATTGCCAGTACCCTGATCTACCGTTATCCACTTCATGTTCAGTACACTTGTTGCTGACCTCGTCAGTCTTCATCCATACGTCTATTTGTCCTTCGCTGTTTCATCTAAACGGTTATTGGTTTTGCACTATGGAGAGTGACTGATACGATTGCATGTTTTCAGGATCAGTACGAGGCCGGCCGACGCTACAGTACATTGTCGAACATCACAGCATTGCTGGATGAGTAGTGCTGGACGTGCCGGAGGACTGTGCGCTTCAACGTCTCGAGAGGATCTGCCGCGTTCACGGAATAACTCTGCTCGGCGCGCCGGCTCAGGTCCATCAGAAGCGCTATCAGGAGTCCTTAACACTTCGGATCTCCGTGGTTATGGTACGTTTCAAGATTTTTTGAATTTAGAATCTTTATAGACTTGATGCAGGTTGTCGTGGTCGCCGACGGTACGTTCGTCGATATGACTCACCAGTGTATGTTAACGCAACAGCTTCTTTTCAGATGTCCGGAGCCAACCAGGTTTAATTTTGGTTTTTAATATTGATCAATCATATATAAATGTATATATGTATATTGTATACATGTCTATATTCTCCCAACGTTTTACCGCTTCATCGTAGCTAGGAGGTGTTCATAGGCGTCGGGCTGCGATATACAACGGAGGTACTCATGACCAGCAGGACCTGCCATGCTGAGAAGGAGTCCGGCGTCTCCATTAGGAAGCCCAGCTAAGAGTTAACCAGTACTAGTAACGAGATCCACCACCGTCCTGGTATTAAACTAGTTGCATGGTGGCAAATCTACCTCTAATCCATAAAGGCAGCGACTGCTTGTGGTCGTGGCGACATGGGGCAGATTTTGACCAGGTTAACCTCGGTCGGGACTTCAGGAACCACAATGGCTAAACTAGCAATACTCCGAAAAAGTGGGAATTGAGCCGGGATCTGCACAACCAGTGAAGACGGCCATCCAAGTATACGTGGATGTGTGTACATATACATATATTTAATTCCCTAAACAGAAAGTTTGGTTGGAAAGAGGAAGAATTGAAAAGTAATTTCGTTGAAAGACATGTTAGAATTTAGATACTTTCTTTGCTGGGATGGAACAGGTTTGAGCGTATTGTATGTCAAAGGCGAGGGTAAAATTTAGTTATAACGGCTTCATTTCGTTATTCATTTCCACGCTGCATAAGAGAAACAGCATTTATATCCATATATGATCAGTTTAGGATCATCAGAGCCGTAATAATCGTCGACAAAACTATTCAAACAATGCAAGAGAGGCAGGACATCGTGGAAGAAGCGGGAGACGAACTAGACATCGCGCAGAAATGCACAGTTAGTATTTTCCGCTGAATTTGTCGTTATAGTGACTGAATTTCGTAGTACTTGCTGTATTGTACATCTAATCGCATTTACAGCTATAGAGGAACAAGATCCATTGGAAGACAATATGCCTTCCTACCCAGGTTTCGTCTTTAATCCTGTGACTAGGAAGCACTTTAGGATTGCTGGTGATCATAGTGGGGTATGTTTCATGTGTTTTGTTGGACGTTCACTAGTAACACTTTTTACTACTTCGGTTTTTAATTGAGGTCTTTTTAGTTTTCATGTTCTCATACTGCAACCAATGGTTAATTTGTTTAATATGATAAGGAAGCTTTTACATCAACGAAACTCAAGCTGACGCTTTTATGGCTATGAGGGAGAGCGAGTGATGTATGATGGGTCCCAGTAGCGTTTATCGTAGTAGTTTGTGTTGTGCTTTAGTGCCATGTTCGATACAAATCATTCTTGAAGGCACTAGGTGGGGCAGTCAAGAAGTCTCGTTGGTAAGCTAAAAGAATACTTTTACAATTGGATATTGCGTGTGTTATGTCGACACTCGCGGTCTGATTAACGTCATCATTTCATTTCAAATTTTAGTTATCATTCCTCTGTCGTTTGCAACGGACAAAAAGGATAAATCTCTTGCTAATGACTAATCCCTAAGTGAGCACCATGCATTCGACTTCATCAAGAATCGTTGGAAGTAGTTCAATTTATATCTGGCCTATACAGTGACTTGCAGGGCCTTACCGATGTTTGAAGTTAGTGCTGTTGTCTCCGCCCTGTAGACAAGTTTAGTACCAATTTTCCGATCCCGGAGTAGGGAAAGGTTTGATGGACTTGGGGCAGGAGGTCGAACCAACGACCATATATGTATTGCAAAGTATCTCTGGCTTTTGTGCTGCAACCACCGCTAACCTTTTTTTTCGAGAAGTAGCAGCACTAATGCGAGGGTCATCATTACCTATTATGATAAAGGGATAAGACTTTCTGCGTTGATCAATCTCTAAGGGATGCGCCATGCATTCGACTTCAGTAAGCATCGTTGGTAGTGATTGAATGCACATATGGTCTTAGCAGTGACTCCCGGTGACCTACCGATGTATCGTGCCAGTGCTGCTATACCCTCAGGTTTGGTGCCAATTTTCTGACTCTGGAGGAATGGAAGGCTTGGTGAGCCTAAGGCTCGGATTCAAACTAGTGTATATTGTAGGCCACGTCGAACGACTGCGCTCCACGGGCCCATTATTATTACACTGTGGTCTAATATGTCATTATATATGGCTCTTGAATATATCTGATCCACAGAAGCAACGTAGGCTAAAGTTATTTTGTAGCTCAAGGTTGTATCACAGAGACAAACGTGCATGTGTAACCGAGTGTGTAAAATCCATTACTTTCAAACAAGTTGAACTGACCATGTCTTGATAGTAGTTGTTTTTTTAAGTAATATTCTGCGCCACAGTAATAAAATGTGAATTCACTGTTTTTCTTTAATGAACAAACAGGAGCTTGGTATTGTAGCACTTGTTAGCATACAACAGCTGACGTTTCGGCTGTTTCGCCTTCCTCAGAACCTGGAATGGTCAATTTGACGCGCAGTCTACTGAGTCAAACACTTTCGTAACCTCAGCACATAAACTTAACGCATAAATTTGCATTCGCGTAGTAAATAGCTTTCTGTGTAAACACCCACTGCTTTTTCGTTGTGAGCATTCCAGTTAATTGATGGAGAGCAACCGCACAGAGTCTAACATGGGCGATGAATGTGCATGGCGCAGGTCAGAGAATCGGCCTGACGTATGGTGCAAGGTACCACGTCATCACAAGACACTCCTTGCGGTTCATTTTTTGATTTTCGGATTTCATTTTTTAGTTTTTATCTATTTTCTATTTTTTAAAGACTTCTTGAATCCAAATGAAGAAGACGGAACCGCCGAAACATTAGCTATTCTGTATTAATAGACTCTGTAAGACCAACCTCATGTTTCCTTATCAAGAAAAACGGTGAACTATTGTGCACTGCCGAGGTTAATTGAAAATCGGTGTTGAAAAAATACCACTGTTTAACGCAGTATGGTAACATTTTCGTTTTTATTTTAGATTGACAACTTCACACAGAGGGATATTGCGAGAATCAAGCGAGAAAAAGAAAGATCTGACCAGCTGGCAAGAGGTCGTTTTCACGTTAAGTATGTCTCTACCTCGAACCTATCGATTATCCCTACTGTAACCAGCATTTTCGGTGCGCTTATGTTGATACTTATGGAGTTGAGTGTTAAAACACTTATATGTCTGCTGCTTTTCGTAGATCGATCGTTGGGGACTAGAAGTTTTAATCAAGTCGTGCGAAACGTGTACGAAAGTCGTCTTTTAGGCGTCGGTTACACTCCCAACGCTATTCAAGAGGTTCGTATTTCAATGGCTTGAAACTTGTAGATTTGGAAAGTGTAAAATTCGAAATTCTCCCAACAGTTAACCGCTTCATCGTGGCTGGCAGATGTCCTTGGGTGTCGGGCTGCAATGTACAGCGGGAGGATTCATCCCCCGGCATGGTCTCACAGTTTGAGAAGGAGTCTGGCATTCCCATCAGGAAGCCCAGCTGAGAGTAAACCAATACCAGGATCCGTATCGTCTTTATACCAAACTACTCACATAGTGGCAAACCTCCCTCCAATCCACAAGGGCGGCGATTGCCTGTGGTGGTGACGACCTGAGGCAGACTTTGGCCAGGTTAACCTCGGCACTTCAGTGAACCACAGTGGCTAAACCAGCAAAACTCCGGAAAAGTGGAGATTATGCTGGGGTCCGCGCAACCAGTGAGGGTGGGCCATCAAAGTATCCAAGTAAGTAAAATTCGAAATGAGTGTTCATGTTGTATTAATCGTGTATATCAGGTTTGGGCTGCAAGTTAACCATGTGTCGTTTGATGAAAACTTCTGAAATCAGTTTTTGAATTTCGCTTTTCTTATTTAGACTTATCTGGGTTCGTCCGGTGAACACGTGAAAGGATGTCAATTTCTGGAGCTCGTAGGAAACGATGATGAACGAATGCTTGGTTGCTGGGCTATTGGAGATGGTTCGAGAAATAGCAGAATAGGTGCTAAGCTTGCTTGCTTGAAAGCGAAGTTGGACGATGATGCTGCGGAGTTAGTGATAAGTTGTAGTTAAATTTTCGCTTACTTGTAATCGTTCTGTTCTAGAAAAGTCGCTATGAAGCTCGATCAGATCTATAGCCGTGTGAGTGGTGAGCCGCCTGAAAACACATTGGGTAAGCTCTTCTAAAGTCAGAGATTCAGAGTAACTTCTAGTAAATCTTGACTTTTATATTAAAATCTTGTGCAGTGTGTGTCCAGGTCTATTACCTAACGTATAGCGTTCGATTTGCATCGGTTTCAGTGATCAGAAACAATTGCTGCTGCGAAGTTAAGGTTATGATCTTTAACCACGTAAGGAATTTTATCGATTGAAATAAAAATTATTGGAGTCTTAGTTTCCTGTAAACGTGGTACACCTTTTCTTACTCGACAACCATGAACTTCTAGGAAAAACGTTCCTTCTTTGTTTTTGTATTATAGAGGCTTCTATTTCGAACATCGAAGTGATTAACAAAGTTGGATTTAATCGTTGAACATTTGGATTTCTTTGCTGATATGCAAGTTCTGTGAGTAATAGAGGAAAGTTTGTTTACAAATCTATCGAGCCATGAATTCCTCAATTTTTTTTTGGTTATCAGAAAATCATCGGTAGTTATCGTGAAGCAGACTTCGAGCGTTGTGTGTTACGATTAGACGAAGGCTCTAATCAAGCTAATATTTCGGTGCCGTGGCTTTCTTTAAAGCGTTTAGTGATAAGTTGGGTGTAAGTATAGTTAGAAGTAGCTGGTAGATTTTCCGATTTAGCAATCAAGCGGTTTCGACTTCTTAGAAAGAAAACTTTTCTCTATCGGCGTTTCTTTAAAGCTTTCTGTTGTTTTGCGAGAGACTGTTGTTCAGGGCTAGAGTTCGTTCTGGATGGTGAATCTGTCGATATTTCTCAGCCGGTTTTGGTGGATATGACAGTAGCACCCGTGGATTCGGATGTAACTTGTGTTCTCTATGTTACAGCAGAATCCAGGTTTGTTTGCATACTATGTTGTAGGTTCGATCGTCTTCGCTTTAATGTAAAGTGGAATTCTTCTCACAGCTACACTATATTCATTTGTTCTATTATTCCATTAGACTTCACCTGTGTGTTTTTACGTTTACTAGAAAAGTCACAGAAGAGAAGCAGCCTAAAGAAATTCCATCTTTAGTGGCAGTTCTTTCTACATGCTTCTTCCCATTATCTCGGTTAGTAACATACCTACCTGTTTATGTTTGTAGCATAAGGACGTTGGTGGTTTTGCTAAACAGTTGTTTTGGTTTTGAGGGGTAGACCGTATGTTAGGCAATCTACTATCGAATAGGTTTCTTCTTAGAGGTGCGGATTCCTGGCATATCCCTAAATGTTTACTCTACGCCTTTAGAATCCGTTAGTCCTCGACATCATTTTTGCTGTTCATTCTGCTAATGGTACTTGTTTTAGGTATGGAAGTCTGGTTTCTTGTTTAGATTGACAGGAATAGGCATATCATCTATGTGCAAGGTCGTCCTGCAACCGTTGCCTGCATTATGCCTCGACGGCGATGACTTTGAGGTGCGGGACTCACCCATCTATAATATTCGATGGTCGGTTGAGTCCTCGGCAATTTATAGTTGTGCGTGGAATTCTAATAAGACGCGCATAGCCCTAGGTTTGTTTAATCTTATAACAACTACCTTTTGTTTCCAAATATATATCCACCAGGTATGGAAGAGGCTGCCAAGATTATGGATGTGATCACGGAGAAATCGTTCATGATATCAAGTCGTCGTCGAAATGTCATCAGTCAGCATTTCTCATCCGTTAGTTGTCTTATAAGCTTCTCAGGTTTTCGTGTTCCATTGATCGCAGTACAAACTACCCAAGTACCACGAATTCACACAGCCCTTCCTGATTAAATATTTTTGACAAAATCCATCATATTGAACGAACAGTATTTATGGTCTTAGTTTTTAATTTATATATTCTCATGAACAGATCTTGTTGAGCTGATGCGAGGTTGGTATAGTTGTGGTTATTGTTGTTGGTCGATAGCCGACGTTTCGGCGGTTTTGCCTTCCTCAGAGCCTGGACGTATTTTGTACAACAATGGAATAGCTTAGTAATTTAATGAGAAAATGCTAATACATTGGTGTTTTCACCGAATTATTAAGCTATTCCTGTATAAAATGTGTCCAAGCTCTGAGGAAGGCGAAATTGCCGAAATGTCAGTTATTGAGCAACAACGACGGCAACTACAACTAACCAGCCTCGCATCATATCAACAAGATCAGTTTGTGAGAACCTATAAATGAATATATCAGCTATTTATGCCGAACATTCTGAACTTGTTTTTTTGTTTTTTTTTTTTACAACAAATAAGAACATCTTCCAGAATAAACATTAAATACCGCAATCCATTCCTATACTTTAACGATATAACTATCCATCAATTCTCAATAATCTTGAAGAATTGGTGCTCGTTGAGCAGCACTCTGTTTTTTCTCTTTAGTATTTTGTTGAGATATCATAACTATACCAATAATTGTGGATATGAACGTCAACAAAGTTGATAATTTTCTTAGAGTTTACCTTGAATTTCGATATTGCTAAGATTTACAGTTTTTGGCTGTTGTACTCCATCCCCTGCTTTCATCTTTTTGCTTAAGTTTGAAACTATAGTCACTTACTTATTTTTTCAATTGATAGCGTTTTCGGGTTCTAGTTTCAGTCCTAGACGTCTCCCCACCATCTTTCGTGAAAGTTATTCGTTTCGAATTTTCAGGATGGCGACGTGATATTTATGGGTTTGAGGGATAGTGATGTCATTCTATCAGATCTTCGTATGAAAAGTCATCATGTAATTGGCACGTTGAAAGGTAATAATTTATTATCATCACTTGCGTATAGTCGTTCACTTCATCCTTCGTAGAGCTAGAAACGGCGATTTTCATGTAACTTTAATTCTGTGGTAAGAAGTCGCTTAAAGGTGTATCTGTATGGAATTTAAAGTAACGGAAGGAAAGATATTGCTTTCGTATTTTTGATATGTAGGTAATTTTGCCACTAATGAATCAATTATTTAGGTTCTCGTTCAAGTGGTTGGATTAAACAACTGCGTATGTCGTACCCTCAATGTATAATGATAGAGAACTTTAGAGGAGAGGTAGGCTAAGAGTAACACATGATAAAATGAGTAATGGATTTTTTGTTCCTATTTGTCATGGGAGTCAAATTCAGTTGAAAATGTACGATTCACGGCAAATGAGTCGAGAACTTATGTCCTTCAGTGGTCATCGTAACACCCATTTTCGCCTGCCTTGCATTGTCGACTCTCAGGAAAACTTCGTATTTGCAGGCTGGTTTTCTTAAGATCGTTTTCTTTTTTAGGTTTTGGCGATGTCTTCCGTATATTTTCTAAAAGTATTTTCAACGGAAAACCTTTGTCCCCAAAAAACCTATGCAGTCTCTTAAAAATACCCAAACAGTGGATGTTCGGTATCAAATTTATGGTAATTAGCGATATGTGTAATGTAGCACGTTCAATATAGTTGTTATACATGATCTACTTATTGCTTCATTTGCGGCTTTTTCTTGAAATTATCCAGATGCTTTCTCATTTCTTTCAATTTTTTAGTTTCTCTCATTCACTCCCACTTACCGCGTCCGGTTGTTTCTTTTCCCACGCATGATTTTCTATAGTACCTCCATCATTAAATCAGTAGCTTCGCACCATAGTTGTTGTACACCGCCAGTACCTAGAGTTATTTTTTAGACTTGCCATTGAAATTTATTAGGACTTTTATTCGTCTTCATAAGTTCTGTGGCAATTCTTTGTAGAATTACTAGAACAAGACCACTGATAATGAGAACTGCACTCGACATAGTTACTCTGGAGGCCTCGGTGTTCGTACTTATTGAGCACCTTTTTTGAAGATTTGTTTTAGGGAATATCCACAGCTTTTTATTCAACTTAGGTTACATAATTTTGACATCTACGCACCAGTTTCTAGCCGCTATAGTCACAGCTAGAATGGAGTTACACCCTAAGCTGTTTTTGTCCGAATTCTATTGTAGACTATATGTGAAAATTCTTTTCTTCAGTCGGCAGTGACGGTTGTACACGTGGATGGTCGCTGTCGTCAGGGCTGCAACTATGTGCAGTTCCTTGTCCTCGCCCAGTGGACGATCGCACAGACTTCCCACGAGTGGTGTACTCGTCTTCGTGGTGCGGTCGAGCCGGAAGCTCAGCTCTAATATTAGCAGTCGGCGATTCGTTGCGTATCCATCAATTGGAACTGTAAAAAAATCTTTTTAGTGTTTTCATTCGTTAACGTTCTTGTTATGACTAGTTACCAGAGAAGTCGATAATTTTCTACCTTGGAGTAATCTCCGCTTTTCATACTGTATCATACTCAATTGACTCTGTTTACAGGTGTCCACGTCTTTAATATAATTCTAGAATCGTCTGTTTTTGCTTCTTAGTTTATTGACCTCGGCGGTGAACATCGTTGCCAAACCTTTTGAGTGTATGGGTATGAAAGTTTCTTCTTGTTTTTGCACCCAATGTTTTAACTTTGGAAGTTTGGTCAGCTGGTCGTTTTGTCTAAATGGTCTACTCTCTCTATCTTGTCTTTGAAGTTGTATTTTTGTGAGACACCGGTAACCATGGGTTTCGGCCGTTGCTCTCGGTATGTAAATCTCACTGCGGGTATGAAATCGTGGTGTCTCTATATGTGAACTGGTTAAAAGTAACCTAGATCATGTTTGGTTTTCACTGGATTTTTCGCACAGCTCTCGATGGACATTGATTTTCATGTTTACGTCCCTGAAAGAAATTGTCCTTCTAATTTTAAGGAAGCATGGATCATTTCGTAGTGGTCTATACTGATTCAAAAAAAGATGAAGGATTTGCAGATCCCTGCCTACGAGGTCCAGATTGTCGTATTCCACAAATTTAGAACTTTGTCATTGGGAATTTCCAAAGTCTAAATTTCGTATACACTTTTTTTTCTGAAGATCTAATTTCTAAGCAAATTCAAGATTGAGACTTAAGGAACATTTTAGGAGGAGCGCTTATTGGTAGATGAAAGGCTTGCACTTAAAGTGGTATTGGGGACCTCGTTCTGTAATGTATTTTTAACCTGAATAAAGTTTTCATAGCCACTGTGTTTGTTTATGATGGGAACAATACCTCCATAAGTTTATAAATTTTTGATTTATCAAGTGCACAAATTATCCGACTACTATGAGCAGTTAACAGCCATTGTATCTGTTTGGAATAACCACGTGGTTGCGGGCTGGAACGTGCACAGGATAAACCAGATCCACTCTCCCGCCACGTAACCCCAATTTCTCTGAGTTCGGCGAATTTTTGGAGGTTTTGTATGATGGAGTCTTAGGAGCGCTCCAGCAGGACCATCCCATTTTTCCAAAGAAATTAATTTGTTCAGAAATCCACCACATCCATGAAGAATGTAATATCCTTAAATAACAGCTGAATCTAGAAGTAAATCTGGAGAGTTTCATGGACAAAGAAATAACGAACAGAATGAAGGGATTGCTGGTAGTTGTAGCAATTGTGAAAACTGATCAAAGACGTAGATAAATATATCGGCCTTAAGCGCTAACTATTTATATGGTAGTGGGTGTTTCGCATCGCAACACTTCGTTCACAGTTCTACACCCATTTTCGCGTTGAGTAGTGTTTGTCACGGAAAAATGATGCTGCGTGGATTCCTTGTTTTTAAAGTAATGCAAGCTGATCTTTACGTTAGAATAAAAAGTTCTATGTCGCTTATCTCCGGTCATATGCATATGTTTTGCTAAAAATAATAATTGTTGCTTCCAAAATACGAGCCAAATTGGAAAAGATGTGTGATGTTGAAAGTTTTCTCTTGTATATACTTTTTAACATTTCTTTATGTTTCAAAGCGTCAACGCAATTGTCTTTACACAAGAGCGAGTGCCTGCTAAACAGTGAATATGCAGGAGGTCGAAAAAAAAGCCTGGTCCCAGATCAGGTTTCGTCGCTGCCTAAGGATTTGCATCTCATTGGTCCCACACCAGGTTTTGTCACTCCCTGAGGATTTGTATCTCAAGAGCAGGACGTTTTTCGAGTCGGTTTCATTTTCATATATGTGGATTGCTCAACAGCCACTTGACATACCGATCGGATATCGTAGTCACTTTAAACACTCACGATTATACGCGTTTGTTCCAATGTAGAAGTATGGAGTGGCAGAGTGGACAGTATTCATTGGTTGAAATATGTTCTGCTTCCTATTGTCTCTTTCATCGCACATTTTTCAACCATACACTATTCTGAATCGTCAGCTTCCACTATGACCTCTAATCTCAGAGGAGCTGTTCTCAAAACGTTTTATGGTTTTTTCTATGACCTCTGCAGCAATTTCGCTGCTTGATTCACATAGGAAGATACTGACTCGATCATGCCCGTGTCTCATCAAGATTCTTATATCTCTGGAATCAGAACACTAGCTCTTTTGGGACAAGCTCATTCCCTCCTGATTCAGATGTATGCGCTCTAACACGGCTATCCCAGGACTCCAGGGAGAATCGATTTAACCAGCGTTAAACGACATTCGTGTGAAGCCGAAAAATTGCTCAAGCTGCAACGGTAGCCAAGCGCAAAAAATTTCGAAGACCTGCGTGGATGGTGAATGCGAAGAAACGAACAGAATGCAAGAAGTGGTGGGATAGGCACAACGTGAGACACGTGGTATTTCGTCATGTAATAAAAAAATGAAATATATTGTTTACATATAGTTACACTTGCTAGTCCCACTATGCGGTTATTTTTTCTTACCATTGTTTAAACATAAAGGCTTAGTTTTCCAAGTTTGAGGTGATTGCATCGCAACAATTTATAGATCTGTAAAACCACATAGCACACGTAGCACACTAAGATCTTCGTCTACATCAATCTATCTCCACTCCATACAGCCTCTCTTCATTGCTTCTTTCATTCTCTGCAAAATGCAAGCAGTCCAGTAAATTTTCAAATCTGTCTATTGTCATAACTTTATGCTTAGTATAAGAATAGTGGTCGAGTACTCCAATAATTCCTCAGCCGTGGTAGTCTAACAATTCCCATCTGAGAGTACCAGTTGATAAATTTTGTCATCTCAACAGCAGTTGGTGCTATTCACGGTACTACCGTTGTCTAGCGTTTGTGTCTTTACCTCTTTTCTATAAATACATCCTAAATATCAGTCACAAATAATTCAAAAAAGAATATGTTGGCTTTGTGCATTTAAGCACAACTTGTAGCTCAACACCTGACTGAATAGAATATAAAATGTTCGCCGTTGATAGGCTCCTGAGAAATATGTCATGCATTAGACTTCATTGAGAATCGTAGAGGTGATTAAATGCATATCTGGTCAATAAAACGACTTTCAGTACGTAATGATGTATCAAATTGGTGCTCCTGTCCTTCTAAACAAGTTCGATATTCTTATGTGGATCTCGAAGAAAGGCATGATGAGACTGCGACCCGAAGCTCAGCCAAAGATCGACCTAGTGTGTACAAATTCCCAGGATAGATTTTCTGTTTATCTCAGCACTGATTAATAAATTACTGCCACGACCGACTTTCTATTAACCTCGGCATTGATCAAGTGATTTTGTTCGTATTTTTTTGAGCAAACGCGAGG